TTTTTTTTTTTTTTTTTTTTTTTTTTTTTTTTTTTTTTTTTTTTTTTTTTTTTTTTTGCAACAAGTACACAACTGTGACAACGACAGTAACGTATATATTTTCGTATTAAAAGTGGTCCACCCGAGTTTGTACTACAGTTTTGCAATTCCATTAGATTTATTCAGTTTCATGAAACTTCAAGGTAATGAATATTGCGATTCAACTAAGCTCGATTTTTTTTTACAATCGTACGACTCTCCTTACAAAAATAAAACAGTCTTCGCAAAAATCTCAATAAATAAATAAATAAGTTAACAGAACTACGTAAGACGAGAGAAAAAAGTCATCAAACAGAGAGAAAAAGAAAAAAAAAAAAAAAAGTCTAAGCGTAAAAGTCGACATGGAGCAGGGCAATAAATTAACGCGGCTTAGGGCTAAAAAGTACGGCTACAACAACATTAATGATAATAATGATAATGATAATGATAATCCTATCGCAACGAGACGCTAGTGTTTTGTCTGCTGCTGTTGTGGCTGTGGCTTCTGAGCGGCGTAGGCGAGATCCTGGGCAGACTCCTGAGCGAGGCTCCTCGCCCATCCGGAGCCCCCGTGTCCGCCTGAGCTACCGCCACCACCACCACCACCCCCGTAGCCGCCAAAGTCGCTGCTACCGCCCGAGTAGCCGCCACCACCGCCTCCAGAGTGTCCACCGTCGTCGTGGCTAACGATGTGGCTGCTGGTGTGGTGCTGCGGATGGGCGACCACCTCGTAGGTCACGTGCTTCTGTTGGCTGAGGAGCTTCTTCAGGCCGATTATCGAGGATATCACCAGCGCGATTTTGCCGACCAGGAGCGCCTTGCCGGCTATCAGGGCGATGAAGCCCAAGGCGAGAGGCAGAAGGGCTGCCGCCTTCAGGGCCACTGCCATTATTATCGGCCCCAGGATCTTCTGGGCCTTCTCTGCAAGCGAAGAAATTATTTTTTACTTTGTTCCGTCACTCACAAGGGGGTGGCTTTTGCGTAGTGTAGTTTTTCCTACTTTGGGCGTTTGGAGTGCATTTAACCAGGGCAACACACGCCACCGGGTACAAAAACTATGCTATTTTATACCTTGTGATGACACACCGGAAGACACGAGATAATTAATTGAAAAATTCACCTCTTTCTCGCGAATGATGGTAATCATCGCCTTTCACGTTTCACGACGGAAAGTAGTTGTATGGTTTACCCAAACGTGTACCGAACATGTCTATGATTTGCAACAGGCGAACGCACGGTGGTAATTAAGGTTAAACGCCAAATGGCACAAGGCAACGCGAATAAGCTCATACAACGGGGAGCAGCTAATAATATACAACACAGTATGGGAAAACAAGCACCTGTATATATAAGACGGTATAATGTGTCACCTGTGTTATATGCTAAGTGACGTCGAATTAAGAGCATACCCGAGTCCCGAGAGTCATCGTCGCAATCGCGCACACGTGGCGTGCACGGCTCGTTAGGCTGATTTAATTGGCCAATTTCGCGGGATCGTCCGAGTCTCGTCTTTCTCCGGCCCGACTCGCTCCAACCGGGAGGGTACACGCACTCGAATCAACCCGTGTGCGTATGCGATTTCCCTCGAGAGCGTATAAATACAGCAGCCGCGAGATATCGAGCGCAAGAGATCAGAGAGCGCGCGCCAAGGTCAAGGTGCGGAAAGTGTGTCGAAAATCCTCGCGGATGAGCGTGACCAACGCGCAATACAATTTCGCTGGAGTTTGTATCTTCCTTCTCCTCCTCTGTCTGATCTTCTTCTTGCTTTTCTCGCTTTCGTTTTTCCCACGCGCATGTACGTACTCTTAAATCGACCTGATTTCGAGCGTCTTTCTTCCCAACGCCGAATCGTTTCTCCGCGAGGATGGCGTTCGAACGTGGATAGCAAGTGGAAAAAGGAGAGGAAAAATTTTGCTATTTAATTTTTCACCCATAGAGCGCGTCACCGTTACGCCGTTACTCACTTCAACAGCCCGGAATGCCCGTCCGACCATACGCGGCGTTTTTCTACTTGACGGCTCGCGAGGATATTAAAATGTACGTACATTCACCGCGTGATGATGTTTTTTCCGAAATTCTTTGCTGTACTGTATATATTCCCGGGAGCTTATTTTCCGTCATCGATACTCAACGTAACGTGTGCAATAAAATGTATTCGTGACCCAGAATGGCCCGTGTATTTTACTCCTCTCTCGATACAATAACGACCCTCGCATTCCTTCAATATCGCTCTGTGCGCTTAAAATTATGTTCTTTCATGAAAAAAAAAAAAAAAAACTTCATCAAAGAGGCCCAAGATACGCGTAACCAAAACTGGTACGCGCTTGGCTCCGATCGCTGGATCGTGACCACTTTAATATCTCTCATCTTTCGCCTCCCTCCACGCGCCGCCTCTCACCTTTAACTGCACGAGATCACTGCCCTTCTCTCGCACTTATTTATCTCGCGGACGCTCGTACGTATATACACACGAAGTTGGCGAAGCGGAAACCAGTTCCTCACTGGGTCAACGTTTTGCACGGCAAGAAAAAGGAGAAGGAGGAAGAGAGGCTCCTTCAAAACAACAGAGCCAACCGTGTGAGCAGCTAATCTTTTTCTTCTTTTTTTTACGTACATGCATTGCACACGCACTCGCTTTTACAGTTGAGAAAATGAGACAGCGATAAGTAAAACGCGCGAGCATCTCTTATTGCGTTTATTTATGCACGAGAAAGAGAGACAGTCGTGCATTTTTCGAGCGCATAATTTGTACATACACGCTGCTTCCACTCGGAGATGCGAAAAACACACCCAAGTACGCGCGTCATTTAGATAAACACTACCCACGCCCTTTCCCTCGTCTTTTATTTATTTTATTTTTTTTCTCCTGCGTACATTATATTACACGTAGGTGAGCCAAGCGCACTGCGTGTCCAGTTAGGCAGTTACACGTATACCCGCGCGCACCGCCGTTCCCCTGTCTTACCGGTATGCGTACCGAAGAGAGCATCGACTGCGCGGCTGTTTCGCTGTCGGGCGTTGATTCATGCAAATTAATTTCCTCCATCGGAACGGCAAACTCGCTCGACTGGGATTTTTAGGCTGACCGCCTTTTTTTTTTTTTTGCTGAGACGTAACGACCGAGCGGATGAATAAATATAACGATGGCTGCGCCAAGTTTGTGGGTCGACAGTTAGCCAGACGCGAGACTTCAATTTTTTTCACTGCCTGCGAGAGCTAACGAAATGCACGCGCAAAGAGCTACGAGAAACATATGGAAAAGCGAGCCGGGCTTATACAATTGATTTTACAACGAGTCATCCCCCGGTGGTTTTCGGTCACACTCTGGTTTAACCGGCGACGCGTCTATCTGATGAAAGCCTTGGGGCTCCCCGGACCTAATTGCCCCCCGAGCGGAATCAAATTAAGGCACAGGAGGAGTTAAACAGCGCAACAGCAACACCTGAAGAGCTGGTTTTGCCGAGCGGTAATTCGTACATTAAGTGTGTGGAGTCCGCGGGCGCGTATACTTACTTTTCTTTCCTCGCGACTCGACGGCGCTGTCGTTGCTCGTGTCCTCGAAGCTGCGGCCGGCTGACTCGATGGCGCCGAGGATGTCCGTGCCCTTGAGATCGACTTTGACCGTGTGAGTGCGCAGAAATCGGCCGAGCCGGTCGAACAGCAGGGCGTCAAAGTCGCTCGAGTCGATGGACCTAAGGAAACGTTACAGGGGTGCTTTTAGGGATTTCAAGCTTTTATTTCGCGGATACAACTATGTGAAGAATAATTGTTCGATCGACAATATATTTCTTCGATTTTTATCGTTAAATCCTAAATTCGTTTATTTCATATTTTCGCGTTAAGATCAATGCATATGTCGCCTGATGGCTCAACTGATGCTTACATGTGCTTTATAGTGAATGTTGATGAACCGAATCAATTTATTAGAAATTAATTAAAAAGTATTACAATTACTCGGCATCACAGCGAAATAAAAAAATTACCGAGGAAAACACAATAAAAACCGGTATCATCTTCTTTATTGATGAAATTAATTGAAAAGTCATTAAAAAAAAGCCAGTGTCATTCAGTGTTAACTTTCAATGAAAACCCCAATTTTTACAAACGAAATGTAAAAAAATCCCAGCCAGCCCAAGAGCCCCCAAAAACTCACCTAGGCGCGCCTTCCTCGATGTTCGAGGTCTTGACAACAGTAATACCCTCGCTGAGGCTGATGTCGTCCTTGGCCAGCATTTTGTCGACGAAGGACATGACCTTGTGCTTGATGCAGTTGAGCGGCTCCTTCTTTAGGCAATCGGTGTAAATCGATGCCATGAGGTCATTCTCGCTGCCGGTTTTATCGGTAGCCGGCAGTCCCGCTGCCACGGCGAGCACCGCTGCGCACAGGATCATCGTCTTGCCGAGCATGTCTGTGACGCCTCAGGTGTACCTGTACTCTGGATCCAAGACAAAAATAGACAAACAAAATAAGTTTTATTTCTTTCTTTTTCCAATTAAATTAATTCGCGTATGTAAGCAATCAAAGAATGATCATAGCTGATGGACCGAACCGATCAAAACAACCTATACCGATTTCCTATGCAAAATCAACCCGGCACTCGAAAAAAAAAACCCCCTGTAAGAAAAGGTATGGTTAAAAGGTATTGTAAAAAATACACACTGTAACAGCACTAAATGTCCTTCCCCCTTCCTTTGGTCCGAGCTAATGAGCGCTGCACCCGAACACTCCGAGGTCCGACTGGGCAATAAAGAGAAGCCCAACAAGCCAAGAGTCGCTCTGGTGCCGTCGGCCGCTTGGTTATGTGTGTTGCACCTAAAAGAGCCTTGCTTTGCTTTTATACCGAGTCAGCCGTGAAAAGGGGTATGTGCACGATGTGTACTGTACACTTGTGACCGGTACTGGTAGTAGTAGAAGTACTCTACCTACGTCGCCAGCACGCGCATGTATATACATACCAACACACACGCACACACGAGTATGTATCCTCCTTCTCCTTCGAGCCGGGCATGTATACATATACCAACTCGCAGCCTCCCCCTCCAATGGGATGTTGTATGGGCGTCCTGGCGGCTTCCACGTGCAACATCTCGGCAGCTGCAAGCCGGCTGGCTCCTTCCCTTTCTCTGATGTGCTTCATCCTTCCGTACACCGAGCACCGGCGTCCTGTACACGTACACGTACCTACATGGGTACTCTTGCTTTTGACCCCCCGAGAGTGCCGTTAAACGAGAAGTATCTCGTGTCGCAGGTGTCCTTTGCCCGGGAGATCATAGAAAGGATGAACATTGAAAGGAAGAAGAGCAAAAAAAAGTATCTGAATTACGCGTGCACTACTATACGTAACACCGCGTTCGATAATTGCCCCGAGAGTGGTGTTTAACGCTGCACGCGAAAGATTTTTCTTTCTGTTCGACGTGTACCTGGCATTCTGTGTCGGGGATCGCCAAGAATTTCACGGAAAAACGCGCCTCGGCTGCAATTTCCCCGGGAAAAACCGACTCTTACTTTCCTCCCGAGCGCGTGCCGCCAATTTTTTCTTCACGTAATCTCGATCGGTTCGAGTTTCCTATACGCGTGCACGTGTTGTCTCACAATATGTCCCATATTTTTTGACACGACGACAAGTCCACCTCGTAACGCGAAAGAGAAAAGAACGAAGCCGCGAGAATTCGGGGCTTCCATTCCAGTTTTCGCAACAGAGGGGCATAAAAAATTATTTAGAAATTCCTGTTTCGCTGCTCCCGAGAGAGGTCTGGCATTACGCGGGGACACATATTACACGCGTACGCGCTCGCGATGCGCTGTAATGCCCATTGTATCGATGAAACAACTCGGGGACTTTTTGCCCGAGCAACTCTGTGCCCCGATATTACGCGAGTCTCTCCGTGTAGCCGGTCATTTGGCAAAACTCCATTATTAGAACCAGCTCACTGGGTTACGCGTACAAACGCGGTGGCATTGAATTTTCACTCCAAAATCCTTATTTGCGATAAAAAACAAAAAATTTGCTTGTATTTTCGAGGGCACCCGGCTGCAAGTCTTACGCACAGGAGAAAAAATGAGATCGGACCACCCGAGAGGGACCTACTTATCCAAGTTTCGCAGAGCACGCGGTATCCCTCGAAAATTTTCGCCGATTGGATTTTTCACTTGCAGCACACGCATAGAGAGAGAAAACGTTTTCACGGAGATTTATCGGTCTGAGGATTAAACGCAGTCGAGGGGAGAGTAACAGGTTGACCCTCGCGTATTTTACCACTGGAAAAAAAAATCCAGTATCGGACCATATCCGCGGAGGGAAGCGCGTTTATATTCCATTTAAAATAAATCGTCAACTTTCTAGTCAGCCATCCACGGCGAACTACACTCCCCCGTACTGTACGTCCATACGTGTACACGTGCATATATGGGTGTATTATTTATTTGTGTGTCGGTTGAGGAAAGTATGCTACTGACCGGCAGGAAAAGAGAAGAGAAGAAGAAAAAAACAACCCGCGTACACATACTTACATATATGCGCGAGCTGACCGTGTCATCTTTATCGAAAACGCACTCTAATCCGCGGCGCGGCGTTTAACCCACAAAGGCATTACACAGACAAGCTGAGATTGACACTTGAACCGGCTAACTTTCTAATTGACGTATACGCCCGTGGGCAGCGAAATTACCCCGCGTCGTTCCGATGAAAAAGCTACACGATGAAAATTAAAATTCCTTCCCAGCCGAGTATTGAAGCTCCGATGGGTCGTGCAGTTATATTGTTATTGCCAATAGATCCACAGTCCCGCTTTGGTGGGTGTACGCGAGGGAGGCTGTTAGCGAATGGACTAAACGACTTGGGTGCGGAGCTAGAGAAAAAAAAAGGTGGGCTTATCGATCGTATTTCAAAAGGATTATTATCCTATTAGCCATTCATCATGATAGGAAAAAAAAAAAAAATTAATAAAGAAAACAAGAAAAGGGAGGAGGAGGAGAGTGTATTGTTTGCTCTGGCTAATGGCCCGATGAGCGTGAAATTGCCTCGTTTCACGGGTACAAAACTCTCGTGTACATACGCCAAGGGAACTTACTTTTTCAACGGGCCATTAGCGATGGTAGCTGGAATATGTTTTTCTTTGGCAGGCACGGGAATTTCTAGGTCATAGGATGCACCGATTTCCAGGTGAGCCGTGCAGAGGGGAAGCGGAAAAATTTTCGCGTCCGTCTCAATTGTGGAGAAATGAAGAGTTTCGAGTAATCAGACGCGCGGGATCTTTCGATTTACCCGGAGAGCTGTTTTCCATTTAACGGCGCGTGTGCACCATGTACAAACACTCGCGTCTATACACATGTGTGGGTTTTAGTGCTGTTGAAGCCAAGGAGATGCGAACGGGAGATTAGCACGAGGAAGAAAGAGGGACGGGATTGGATCTCGACAAATTGAGACGGATTTACCACTCACTTGCATGGGTATACATGTACGCGTTATTTATGCTCACGTTTTATTGGAGGGGTGATAAACGCGTGTTTTACGCCCGGGAAATCGGGCTCATAGATCCCGTACACTGTACTTTTGATCACCAAAAGTCTACGTACATGTATATGCACGGAGGATCCTAAAGTTCAGCTGGTGAGGTTATCGTTTTTTGGTTCCAAAAGCATCGATGGAATTCCGGTCGCAAAAGGTCCAAGCAACAATGGATTAACTGTACTTTTTAGCACAATGGTGCGACATTTACAAAACACCAAAATGGGAAAATAACTCGATCTCGCAGAAAAAAAAAAAAAAAAAAAAACAGGGCACCAGTGCGTATATATTATAAGTAATACGCGATATGGACGCAACAAAAGCCAAAGATCCCGTGCCGAGCGAGCGAGGAATTTCACCGAACATCGATCAATCACACGTGCATGTGTATCGGTACGACCTCTCTCTCTCTCTTTTTTTTTATTTCCTTTCACGGTAGAGAGGGAATACATACCCGTTCCGAAATGAACGACCCGCCGGGAGAACAGTCTTCATCAGGCGGGCGATATGACTTGCATTGTATACGACGTCTCGTGAGCGAGTCCGCGTAAAAACAATGTTCCGTTACTCCGAGTGGCCTCGAAGCTGCGTGGCACACGTGTATCTTGCAAGCGCTCGTGGTTTTTTGGATGCAACTTGGAACGCGTGGTTTTTACTCCAAAGTCATCCCGAGGAGTGGAGCTAAAGCTCCCGAAAATTTTGAGGGCACGGTGTTACATTAATTTGCTCGTATTTGTGCAAACAGGGTGGCAGTGGTGATGAGCTAAAGCGGGGCTGATCGCCCACTTGCAAATAGGCCGCGAGAGATTACGAAATTCTAAGCTATTATGTCTATACTTGTTTCAAAAGACAAATATTAATAAATGAGAAATAAATAGAAGATGGAGTGATCGTTGGATGATCAATTTTTTCCGTCTTGACTTTCATTTCGCCATTGCTCGGATGAAGCTCCCTTTGCTTGTACACGTCGTACGTATATATGTCTGTGCCGACTTTCCGCGCATTTTCTCTCATAATTTTGCTTTCTTTCTTTCTCCCCCGCTTCGTTTCCCACGTTCGATCCTTCATTTTTTGCTCTCCTTTGGGCACACGTACAACCACGTTCTCCTCATTACAAGTTCACGACATAACGTGACGTTTTCATCCAAAGGCTTTCTTCATCGCTTACTGAAGTAACAAATATACTGGTAAACCATAAGAACTGCCGATCTTAATTGTCTTGTTGATCTTAACTAAGAATATTTTTGCACTAAAAAATTAATAGTTCGACAGGTTTCGTGGAAAAATCTATCTTACACGTAGCAACAAAGTATGCACTCAACGATTTGTTGATTTTATACTAACGAAAGGTAGAAAATCTGTAAAGTCCAATTATTTATTAGTCTCTGATCCTTCGATACACCATAAAAGTAGGACAAATAAAAAATGAGATGTTTCAACACGATAAAATACGATCACGAAATTGGACATGTCAGATTCCCCACAAGAAAGGGAAAAAATCATCAATTAGCAACGAAGAGGCGAAAATTTGCGTGTCGTATCGGAAACCGTGGCCAGACAATCTCATGCCTCCTCGCACGCCATTATATTCCCTGCATTCCAGGATGGACAGGTAACAAGTGCGATCCCGTGGTAAATCAGACGCAGGTGCACGTACAGGCCCCTGTTGAATCCCAACACGATCTCCCAAACGTGTAAAGAGTAAAGTATTACTACATACGGATACACGAGTGCAGATGCACAGGTGGAAGAAAAACACCGACGCGTGACCGGCAACGACTCGACCAAAGTGGCCCGGAACCAATTGGCTTTCTACGACGGATTGTATTAGCCCGGGACAAGTTTACACGCGATACTCCTGTGCCGCATTAGCTGAATCTCGTCGAGTTTATACACATATGTATATACAGATGGCCGTAAGGAAAAGCGCACGTTGCAACATCTCGGCATATCCGTGCGTCTACGAATGACCAATATCCGATCGTGACTCTAGGACTTGTGCACCGTGGCGACCAGGACATCTTGGCTGTTTGAGGCTACGTCATTTTTTCGCTTTAGCCCGTTTGGATTACGGAAGCAAATTTATTTCTCAAGTATATCGATCTGCTTGCGATTTACGGGGTCCATTTTTATGGGTCAACATGGGCATGTCGGTATACAACAAGTTAATCGCGATTTATCAACTTTTTCATCAAGTTTCGTTGTTTCGGCAACATTTGCGAGATCGGCAAAAAAAAATATATCGAGGTTTCTCGTCCGAAACGAGATCGATCGGCACCTTTGCGGAGATAAATCGGTAATTTCCGAAAGGAGGCAAGAAAGCTCATTACCCGAGCTGTGCATTGAACCTCCCATCGGGAACTTGGCGCTGTTGCCGAGCGAAATAGAGTTTACAATCAATTTTCCACGGTAGATCGAATCCGCGGAGCCGATCTCTTTCCTCATCGGCTGCAGGGATGGCTGGAAAAGTGATAATCCATTTTCGAGAAATCTCCGATCGCACAAGGTCGGATCGAAAGCCATCTCGGTTAAACGGGAACACAGAGTAAAACCGAGCCGTAAGCCGATAACCCGTAAGCCAGTAACCCAGTGACACGCGCTCGCATCAGAAAGTCCTCGGTGTAACGTGAGTGCGTTTCATTCGGTGGCTCATCAGCGATCGGCCGGCGTGTTTTCCACGCTGTCGTGCCCGTGCAATTCTTTTCTTTTTTCCCTCTTGCCGGTAGTTTGATTTTGAGATGCTTCTATGGTCCACTTTCGTGGGGACAATATGCGCTTGTGAACGGGACAGGACCATTTGTCAGACGGACGGACACCTTTTGTCGCTGCAATTTCGTATGTGTTGTGTGCTTTGGGATACGGCTGGGAATAGTGGCGAAAAAAAGGACATGCGTGGGAACGATGATGATTTGAATGGGCTGATTGTGAGAAAAAGAGCTTTTTTTTGTGTGAGGGCCTTTTACTGGTTTACCTGTACGCTTGTGTGCGAGTATTTCTGACAACTTTGTAGTGCGTACCTTTTGTTGGCTGTAAATCGGAATATGCCCACGTATAAGAGCACGAAAATGAGAAATATAGAGTGGGAAAATAAAAAGTTCTCTCCTCAGTGTAGCTTGAAAGATGGCATTTATCAAGAATCAAATACTGGTACAGAAGTTTTAATGGAGCAGAAATAAAAATAGATGCTATTGTCAGACAGAAGTGTTTAATCAATATTTTACAAAAATAACAAATATATAATTCCTATTTATACATTAGAGCTAGCTTGATAGGACCAGGTGGCAACGTTTATCTCTTGTTTTAAAATTATTTATGAATCACAGTTGACAAAAACAGAAAAAAAAAGAAAATTCCCAATCTCTCTTTGTTCTGTTGTGGTATTGATTGTTTTGTTTCTGTACTCCACAAATATTGATGTACTCGTATATTAAAATTTCACCCTATAAGCTTAGGAAACAAACAATCATAGCAAATTTTTAAAAAATAAACCACATCAGGTTGATTATTAGTCATCAACCTGCGGATAAGGGCATAAATACTCATTCGATTTATTTTCAATAGAATTTTTTTGCATCTAATTTGATACATTGTTGAGGCTTAAAAAAAATTTTAATCCTTGTTACAACATAGTGATTAAAATAAAATTTCTTAGAGGAAACAATGCATTACAATAAAAAAAAAAAAAAGAAGACGAAATATTTTAGAAGTAGTTAAATATTAATATAATAAACTCGAACTGATTATTTATATTACACTTATTTAATAAAAAAAATATTGCAGTACGATATTGTAATTAACAGTGACAAAATATTAATCTTTTTAATAAGACAATGAACTTTATTAGGCAAAAATGCATCGAAAAAAAAAATTAAAAAACAAAAATTACTTGTAAAACGTATACAAATCCATAAAACAGTTGTGCTTAAATCTGCCTTTTATGGTATTACGTACTAGTCAGCTTAAAAAAAAAAAAAGAAAAAATTGAAGGAGACAGTAGAGCTGCAGGTGTACGTGTCACTGCGATGCAGCGGGACAACTTGTACTATCGACGCGTCGGCGTTTTACCGCAATCGAAAGTCACGACACGGCTGCCGGCTCTTGCTTTTAAACTATATACGAACTCATTACACTCCTACTTCCACTCTAAGTCGAACCGTAACTTTTTTCCTCTTTCTGCTCATCGGAAATTACAGCATATTCTCATCACCTTAATTTAATTTTGAGACTTTGAGTCACATTTATTTCAAGCTGGTATTTTTTACTATGTCCTTTTGCTGAGCTCAATAAAACCTTATGCTGTTGCAAATATTCATAAATCAATTGAATGAACAAATTTATTCCCAACATTTCTGGAATTTAAAAAGAGGAAGTATTTTCTCCTTAAAAAATGCACGAGTTATTAATGATTAATAAGAAAGAACCAACAGGAAGCTAGTAAATCTTGATGACGTACGAGTAAGTACGAATCCTTTGTTTAAAATAAAAAATTATAAAATTTGTTTTATTTTATTTTATACTTAAAAAATCAGTTTTAAATCAATGAGTCAATCTGTTAATTTATACTTGATTTAAGTTTTTTATGGCCAATTATATTATTAAAAGTTAGTTATGCATGGTTACTAAAATTTGAAATATATTTTATGTATAAAAAATTACATTTTGTACATGTGTAATAGTACATAATTCATAAATATTAAACAATAATTTGTAATACCTACAAGAATTATTTTTACTTGGTGTGTTAATGTAAACTTTGTATACTGAACTTGATGTGCAAAAAAAACCATTTATCCAATTTATTTATTAATTTTTTCATCCAATTTATCGTAGAAAAAAAAGATTTTTAATAATTTTTAAAGATCTTAGTCATTAAAAAACACATATGCTGTATATAGTTATTAAAAAAAGTATATTTGTTTAACAAACTTTGCTGTGATGAAAACATGGTACAGAATACAACACCATCACGTATCATCGTAAAAGTACTCAATTGAGCGCACGGATGCAACAGAGCTCACGTAATACGTAATTAAATTTTCATGTCCATACACCGTTCCGGCTGAGCTGTGTGCGAATTTTTTCCTTGCGTTCTCACTGAACCTGAAACTGGACCTTCGCAGGATGGATTTGCTGGCCCTTTCTTTTTTTTGAGCTTCGTACACGTATAACCGATCACCGTGCTTGTTACAGTACTGCCGCCACATTGGCTACCACGATGGTTGAGGAGGAGAATGTAACGGGACTTTGTTGTCTCATTTATTTTTGCTTGCATCTTGCTGTTTCATATTTTTTTTTTTTTTTTTTTTTTTGTGTCACATTTGTGAGTCAGAGAGCTGCATCTTTTTCAGATCGAATGAAAATTATTATCGCGTTAAAAATAATTCCATTAATTAATTATTAATGTAAATATGTTATTGATGTAAAATAACTTTTTATTTTATTTTATTTGTAGCACTTCATAGTTGAAAATCGAGTACTTGCAGAGCTCAAAATGTGTTAATAAATAATCTATTTTCTATTTTTCTCTAATATTAAGGCAAAGGTTAAAATTTTTGTAATGAAAAAAAAAAAAACTCACTTTTGTGTTATTTACTGTGAATACAATGTAGTTTTTTTATGAAAAAATATTTTTTTATTAATTTAAAATATGTATTGATTAAAAGAAGAACGTTGCTAAATAAATCGAGTTGATCAATATGATTTTTAATTTTTGTAATAAAATGTATTTGACAAACTATAATAATTTTTTAAATATTTTGTCAACATAATTTTAGAATAAAAGTTGCTACTAATCTCATGATTGGAATAAGCAACACTGAAAATGAATGTATCTATTCCACATCAACAAAATTAATCGCAAAAATTTTGACATAAATTCTATTGATGGCTAAAATCTATTAGCTGAACTAATACGATAAAACAACATAATATAATTAATTGAAAACAAATTAATTACATATATGATGTATGATACAATTATAAGCAAATTTTTCTTTTGATATGTACATGGTAGAACACTGGACAATAATAATGTAGACTGTTAAGTAATAAAAATGTTTTACTTTCATACTATTATGCTGGCATTGTCTCCTTATTGATTACGAAACTACTTTTATTTTTCTCTATTTATAAAATTATTTTAATTTCTGTATTTTTACATAACATAATGATGTAAGCATTATTCTTTGATAAATTAATCATAATAAGACTGTTTGACATTCTGTTTGGCCGTTAAAAATATATTAACAAGTACAAATTGAGTCGATTGTTCAGTTTTGATGCTCACTTATGTTATTTTTATAAATTAATTTGGTTTTATATTTGAGAATCGTGATTTACCGAATAAATAATAGCTGAACAAATAAATAAATAAATAAGTAGTTGTACAAACATTGAATTATATAATAATTTTAGAGCAGACATAAATACAGTGTAAAATAATCAGTCAACTTTTCGTCAATCGAAATAAAAGTTTGAGCAACATCAGTCCATTGCTCCAAGAGACCGTTTGACCCACAATTATATCAAGTCTCATCTTGATGTCTGTATTGATGATAAATAAATAATTAAAAAAGAGAACTCGAGCACGCAACGCATTCACTCCGTCAGTCGCGCATCATATCAACGACGATGGTAGCCAGAGAAGGCCTGGCTTGGCGCGGAAAAAGCGCCGTGAGCGTCGTCCCAGCCACTGGACGCCCAGCCGCTGGATGCTATGGGGGCCGACCAGCCAGAGGACACGAGGCCCCCGGAGCTCCAGCCGGCATTGTAGGCTGTCGTGTCGTGACTGGAGCTCTTCAGCCACAGTGACCTCAGGCTGAGGAATGCTGATACGGCGATCGAGATGATCGACGCGAGGATGGCTTTTTTCGCTACGAGGGCGATTCCGAAGTAGGCCAAAGTCGCCAGCAGGCCCAGCTTTACTTTGGCGGCGATCAGGAGCGGCAGAATCGCTTTGATCACCTTTTTCTTGCCACGACCTGGAATTTTCGAGACATATTTCAACGATGATTCAATCAAAATTGTTATTTTAAATTTAATAAACTAATTAATTTACTCTGATGTTTCAGCTTATGAAATTTATCATTAATTAATGACAATGCATCATTAATTATACAAAGGTTTTTGAAGAAATAATCCGTTATTTTGTAGACTCATTGAAATCGAGTTATTGCGTATTTCATAAAAGCGAGAAGTAATGGATTGTTGCAGCATAGCTTTCTAAATGAGACTGCAAGTAGTTTGGCAAGTATAGGTACGATGAAGACGCACGTCTCCCACTAGTATTGCAATTATTATTTCAGTGAATCGGTATATCAGTCAGAGTATGATGTAATTAAATATTTGAGTGAAAAACAAAATTATATCGGTATGTGAATCATATAATAATATTTATTAGAAAATCGCATGGTGAAGTATTACCGAATATGTAAATGAAATAAAAAATTCTAGCCAAACAAATAAATCGGACTAAATATTCAAGCATATTCCTTAAAATTGTAGTTAACCGACACTTTTTATCATAAAAATGAAACCACTGAAGGAAAGCAAAAAAAAAAAAAAAAAAAAATAGTTACCTTCGACGACTTCATTGGCGGCTTGCCTGACTTCCGAAGGAATCGATTCACTGAACGCCCGCGCAGATTCGGTTATCTTTTCGAAGGCTGGAGTGAAGTTGACCTAAAAAAGTTCACTTGAATTAAAAAATTGTAGAAATAAGAAAAAAAAGATTTGTTCACATTGATCATTATTCCAGTTTCAATACAATTGTATTATGATCACTAGCATTGGCATATTATATTTTACATGCAACGATTGTGCAGGATACTGCAGTCGATTCAACAGCAAGCAGTAATGAAGCTCCCAGATATTTGCTTACCATAACGAAAAATGAGACTGGCACAACTCATACCCATTTGTCATTAAATTACACTATGTATAGAATCACGCACCCACGCATTACGATGATGACGATTCGTCCATGTTCATACTCGTGAAATACCTTAACTATACCAATAACTTTTGTTTTAGGTAAAAATTGGAGCAATAAAAATGTTCACGACCCAAAAATTATATGCCACTCAAGTGTGGCGTTTACGATTGAAATGACGGTAGCATTTTCATGTGAAACACTAGCGAACGGAAAAAATTCAATTGTTCTTGAAAAATCACCTAATAATAATAAAAAGCTCTTTCAGAATGCAATATCTCCTGTATTCATTGTTCCAACGATTTTTACAGACATGCAAAAATTAAAAAGTAAAAAAGTAAACCCTGATCACTAATTTTAGAAAAAAAAAAAAAAAAAATCCAAACACGTACCTGCAAACTCCGTCCCGTAAGGAACTCACTGACCCCCTCGCCAACAAAGTTCTCGAGGGCGTTCTGCCTCATCGTCACGTCCTTCGACTCCTCGATCTCCTGCTCGTAGGCGAGGGCCTTCCCCGCCCTGGCCGATCCTTGGCTCGTCTTGACCAAACTGACTCCACTGACGAGCTCAAAGCTCTTTTGGTCGAAGAACTGCTTGGCCCTCGCGTACAGACTCTTCTGGACGCAGGAGATGCTGTCCTTCTCGAGGCACTCGTCCAGGCTCTGGTGGGCCCTTGCCAACGCGACCAATCCACCGAAGCAAACGCAACAGAACAAGAGCAGCTTCATCTCGTCGAGGCAAAAAAAAAAACAACAACAACAACAACAAAAACAGCAAAAACAACGAAAAACTCGCGTCTAAGGTATGTGTTGTGTACGGTCGTGTACGAGCCGGTCTGGTTGAAGGTTCGCCTTCTCGGACGAACGGGTAGTGTTTGAGTCGCGCACGCAGGTGCAAGCTCCCCGGCTATATATGTAGATAGCCGGCCCGCAAGGAGCGAACGAACGATGGAAGGATGGGAAAAAAAATGAAGGAAAAAAAAAAAAAAAGAGGTGAGCACCAATGTACCGCACGTGCATACATACACGCTGAAAGTGCGTGCGGTGCAGTGTCGCGCGCTGTTGGTGTCGTTTGGTGTGTCCCACCTCTCCTCGGCCTCTGTACGTGTGGCTGTATGTACGGGTACCTCGTTCGTGTTCCGATGGTCTTTTTTTCCTCCTCCTCCTCCTCCTCCTCCTCCTCTTATCTTTCCTTCCTTGTTCGAAAAGCGCCCAGACCACTCCGGCAAGAGTCGCACTCACACTCGCGCTACTCCTCGGCGAGCGAAAATTTTCGGTGTGGTCCACCGTGGACTGGATTATTATCCCGATCCATCCCCACCCTTTGGCTTCTCCTTACATTTTTTCATTTTTTTTTCTTTTTTTTTCGATGGCATTGGTGGTGGTGGTTCTCCCACCCTCGGCTCGTTCGAGGTCCTTTTGGTGTACGCAGTGCAATATGCACGCGCGGCCACTCCTACGCTTCACTTCCTTCTCTCGCGGGACTCGATTTCGATTTGCTCCTGTGCAGCCTCCTCCGTCTCTCTGCTTCGGTTTCTGCGTACAATCGCAGCCAAGAGAAAAAGACGGATGCACGACGTCTCACAAGAGTGGGAGGGGACAGTTGCTGTTGTTGCGAATTTTCGCAGGCCTGTGTGAGTTATCGTCGTCACGGACTACTTGACGCGATCATTTTAGCGTGTATGGGTTGGTGATGATACAGGCAGAAGAGACCATGGGTGAGGTGATGTGTGTGATTTTTGGAATCGCCTTGCGGTCGGGACACGGAGAGGGGGGGTTTTACAGTAAGAGTGAGCTTTCCGATGTTGCGCTTTGTTTAAGATCTTGTTGGAAGGAAAAAACAAAACAAAATTGTCGCAGTAATAACGATGCAACTGGTGAGAAAATACCAAGCGAGCGGATAAACCATGGTTGGGAAAGGATGAAAGTATTAAAGAGAATGTAATTTTTTTTGTTTTTTTTTTATAACAAAGTGTATTTTTGAACACACTCACATGATCGGCGGTATAAATAGACATGTATAACATGGTTGACACAAACGACTAGCCTCTCCGCTCTATTGCAGTATTCGTGTAAAATTAAAGGGGGAAAGAAGAAATATCAATTGATCGTTAAAACGGAAGAATCCAAGCTGATCTCCTCGTCCTGAGAACGAGGATCGTTTGGATATGGTGTTGGCATCAACTGCGATCGTATTAAACGCATCGTTGTTTTCGCAATACAAGTGCATTTATGTTATAGTGCAACAAGATATGTATAAACATATAGGTATAAATTAAAATGGCGAGCGATCGTTAATCAATATAATATATATGTACACAAAAGTATGAAAATCGAGAGCGCGAACCGTATACATGAACCATCAGCAACAACAACTCCCGATGCTCGGCTTCAATAAATAATAATAATAATAATAAAAATAATAATATTAATATCAACATTAGCGTTAGAGTCAATCAATAAATTATAACTGTCGGGTCCTTTCTTCTTCTTATTTTTTTTTCTCTTCCTATGTATATATATATATGTATATGTATAATCGAGGGCGCGGCGGTGCTCGTGTGACTCTTTCACTCGATCGGAGTCGAAAGTCCCGGAAGATTCTCACGAGTAAAATTCACGCCGGAGCGTAAATCCTCGCAGCGGACCGTCCCAGGAATCGTTAATGAATCGGCGACCGAAAGAATGTCCGGCAGTCAAAAGCGGCTTTCACCGAAAAATTAGCACAGTGTCGGTAAAAAATGAAAAATAAAAAAATAAAAATGAGTCATCCTTTGGGACGCGCGCGTATACAAGAGATCCGATTCGGAGATACGCGTGTGTCCGATCGGTCAGTGCCTTTGAAATTTAATTGTACCGGAGAAACCACTCGAGGGCTAATTATACGTGTTCCTCTTCCCTTCGTGAACGCGTGAAAGTCCGAGGGGCAACCGGTTTTCATTTCACTCTTTATCGAACCATGTGCCCGGACGATGAAAAATTTTTTCGAAACGAGGCCGGCGCGCATATACGGAACGAAAAAAAAAAAATATCTCTCTCTCTCTCTCTCGAAACAGTCGCCGTCAATCAGCCCGATCCGCCCGAGGTGAAACAACCCAACGAACGACCGCCGCACTACTCCAGGCGCATCTCTCACACACACGCGCAGTTGCCTACTTAATTGGAAGAAAAAACAAAACAATCATTCGCACACTCAGACGCAGGCATAAAGTATGTATAGCTGGCGGAGGAGCTTAGTGGTAACCGGAGAAGGCCTGGCTCTGGGCGTAGGCATGTCCGTCGTCCCAGGCAGCGGAGCCGGCGCTCGGGTAACCCCCGGAGACGGAGGAGCTCCAGCCGGCGTTGTAACCAGTCGATGGGAATCCAGCGCTGATGGTCGCGGAGCCCTTCTTCTCCCACAGGGAGCGAAGACCGACGAACGCCGAGATGGCGATGGAGATCAGGGAGGCGATTATGGCTTTCTTGGCGATCAGGGCCAAGGCGAAGTAGGCAAGGGTGGCCAAGGCGCCGATTTTCGCTTTAGCCAACAAAAGCAGGGGCAGGATCTTCTTCAGCTTCTTCTTGCCACGGCCTGAAATCGGTAAGATGACGTTGGTAATTTTTTTTTTTTTTTTTTTTTTTCATACGTAGTCAGTCCTTGGTGCCTGTTGGACACGGAGTTTAAGACGTTTTAGCGCGAGGAGCGATAATTTGCCTTGGTTTACGAGAGAAAGTGGGATACACCGGTAATTGCCCGGTACGGGACCCGTCGTACCTTTCAGCCGTGTAATTGCGACCGTTAACAAGGAAACGAATGCGTTGCCTCGTCAAAAGCCACGTGGTAGTAAGCTCGGGTGGAAAACAAATGATAGGAAAATTACCTTCGGCGACTTCGTCAGCGGCTTGTCGGACTTCGACGGGGATGGACTCGCCGAGGGCGCGGGCTGACTCGTTGATCTTCTCCAGAGCGGGCGAGAAGTTGATCTGTAAGCCGATCAACGAAACGTGAAATTGGCGAAATTGAGAAAAATATCGCGGATCGGGTGGAAAAACTGACCTTCAAGTTGCGCCCGTAAAGGAAATCGTTGAGCCCCTCGCCGACAAAGTTCTCGAGGGCGCTCTGCCTCTCGGCGACACTAGCGGCCTTTTCGATCTCCTGCTCGTAGACGATGCTCTTGTCGCTCCTGGAGGCCCTGTCTCCCTGGGACTTGACCAAACTGACACCACCGACGAGCTCGAAGGTCTCCTGGTTGAAGAAACCCCTTGCCTGGCGGAACAGGCTCTTCTGGACGCAGGAGATGCTGTCCTTCTGGAGGCACTCGTCGACGCTCTGGGCCGACACTGCGACAGCCGCGAAGGCGAGGACCAACGTTATGCAGAACGGTTTCATCTTGGTGCTGCGGGGTTTACTCGGCTGTTGCGGCTGGACACACTCGCGAACGTTGTATGTTCTCGGAGGAAGGTGCGAGGAACTGTTTGAACTCGCAACCGCGTGCCCTGACTATTTATACGGGCCGGCCGGACCGATAGAGCCTGCGCGCGACGCGGGGCGGAGGAGAGGAAAAAAGAGGAAGAGAAAAAATAAAGACGCGTAGGCATATGGGATGTGCTCGTTTATTTTTGAATGGCCGGTGGGACCCATAGAGAGACGGACCCACCTCCCTCTCTCGCCGCACCTGGTGCAGCTTCTCTGACGCGTCCCCACCTTCCTTTTTTTTTTTTTTCCTTTTTTTCTTTTTCCTTCCGACGCTCGCCTATGCCGCGTATGCGTGATCTCGGGAGATCGGTGGATTTCGGCAGGGCTTCTCGCCTCCTTGGTTTTAACGGCAAAAACTGGTTTTCTAATTAATAAAAATACCCAGTGCCTCTCGCCCGCTGTCTCGTGGGCCATTTTCTAATAAAAAATCGTGTCACTACCGAATATTTGATCGCTCCAGCTGACCGAGTAACTTTATCTTTCTTCTCTCGAGAGACGGATGGCGGAAAAATTATTTACAAGATCGCTAAAACAAGCGAGTGTTTAACGATCGGGTGGGCTCATAAAATTTCGCATAGCGGTGCACTTGTCTGAAATGCCATTCGCGGGGTCGTAACGGCATCGCTTTGATGGTATTTAAGACGATGTAAGGACCAATTTTGTGACGAAACTGTCGATGAAATTACTTGTAAACCAAAGGATTGGCCAGCAACGCAGGATTTATTCTATTGTGCGCGGGAGCACAGGTATAACTTCGATCCGATAATTATATGGTCCCATGTCGTATATATATATACGCAATTCCGATCTTTTGTTATCGGTTTTGAGGAAAAAGCTTTGCCCTCATATCTGTGATATTGTACAACGATATGCATCGACACTGCAAAGTGTGTACTTTACGGAAAAGCAGACACGCAGTAGATACAGGCATGTTAAGTAAGACATCGGCCGTGTATGGCGTGTGCACACATCCGTGTTTGCAAATCGACGTTTGAAGAGTATAGGAGAGTAGTCTTCTCGTGTTAGCGAGTCTCGGCTGATGTTTTTGTATTACATTCATATTGTCCGTGGCATTTTAATCATTGGATTGAGCGGGTCTGGTTTTCGAGAGATTCTCTTACGTTTGCAATTCTTCTTTGGCAAAAGTTAGCTTTGAGTTGGTTTTTGTGAATCTAAAAATGGTACGTGAATAAAAATATTGTTTTTTTTCTTTTACTATAGCTGGAGAGACTATTTTTTTTTTTTTTTTGGTCCTACGACAATTTAATCCAACGAATTCCATCAAGAGCGAGATAATGAATATTTTCGAGGAAAAGTAGATGCCGGTAGGGACTTTCTAAAATATAAATTGGGCATAAATAACGTGTTTCTAGCTGTACTTCAAATCAGCTCTTTAACCACGGGAACCTCAAAAAAACACTGTTACGAAGAAAGATAGATCAATCAAACACTCGTCAAAGCTCGCTCTGAACAACAAATTTTCGTGATCTAAAAAAAGAAAAAAAAAAAAAACAAGGCAAATCAGCGCTCGTCATTATCGAAGCGGGGCAGGTCGAGATCTACCAGCCCCGTTCCTTCCTCAATTACCCCGTGGTTGGGCGCCCACGCGCGCGCCGCAAGAATCGGCCTTATCGCGGCTCGACATCGAGTTAGGCGAAGTAACGAGCCAAATGAGAAAAAAATAAAGGAAGTCGCGTGCGACAACTACAAGAGACGCGTATACAACCTTACTTTATTTTCTCCGCGAAACTTACGCACTGCTAATTTATCGCACAGGTGGCACGAAAAAGGAAAAAAAAATAGAGTCCACCTCGCACATGTTTAGTATAATACTGCCTCTCTCGACCTTTTTATGTTTTTCTCTTCTCTCTCTGTACGCCAGACACAAGCGCGATTTACCGGATTCCGTAAATTTTTTCTTTTCGCACGTCCGAGCGCGTGTTTGATTACACTTGCCGTGTGTGCTTTTTGAATTTCTCTCCCTCTCTCTCGCTTTTAGTTTCGCATGTTGGAATTCGGGTTCCGGTGCAGCTGCAACCGAGGGAAACCAAAAAGTTTCGTCAAACACGCGGGAATGTGGGACAACGAGAGCGCAAGCACTTTCATCTATTTGTCCCTCCAACCCTGGGTGCCCGGCGAGTATACTTTTGCCACGCGATTCGATTGGCGCTAATTAAAGACCACGTTGAAAATGAAGGTCAGCGCTGCGAGCGGCGTGCGTTCGCAGGTGCGTCCCAATAGCCGGTAATTAGCGGGAGCTCTCCAAAGAGGACCCGGGCCGTCTAGTCTCGTTGCGAAAGAAAAACCGGAGCACATCGGAAAACGTCAGTCGTCGTAGCGATGGTATAATCACCCAGGCTGGGGGCGATGAAAAGTCCAATATCTTGCGGATGACGCGTTTGAGCGAAAATTGTTTGAAAGCGCGCAGCAAATCTTTCTTTTTTGTCGTTTTTCTGTTTAGCTGCAACGGGATCATTTAATTACCGGAATGACGCGTCTTATCGTGCGTTGGATTTCGAGGGGCTTGGCTTGGTCGATCAAAGTTTTTATGGGACATTGTCTAAATTATGGAATGGCATAACTCGGCCGATAGAGTATGGACCTCATCTCGTTACTACACATGTGGGATAACGCGTATTATTTCAAGACATGAAGTAAAACACAAGTATTGTGTGACGTAAAGGGGAACAGTACATATTACACGAAGTCTGCATGGATCTGATCTATTGAAAAAACGCTCAAACAGTTTAAAAAATTCATATTTTTTGACACTTTTACTCGCAGTCGCAAGTTAGCTCTTGGCAAACAATGACTGGCTCGTAAAAGCCCTAGGAGCAAGTGCCACCGAGTCCAACACCTTTTGTTTACCAGCATTGGGACAGCAGGTGAGGATTTTCAAAAATCCTGCTGTACAGCGGCTTGCCCTCGAAACAAAGAGGAAACTGACCAGGCTACATATACGTGCTCCTTCCGCTGAACTGTTAACGGTGGGTGACGACGACAACGCGTTACCACTTACACTGATGGACTCGATAGTACCTACATAAGTACAGCGAGGCGTTTGTTCGGAGCGACAACAATGCGTATCGTACGTACGCAGGTATCTGTTTTTCTCGTGTACGAGTTGTTGGAGCTCCAGCCTAGTTTCCCCTGGCAGGAGATCCTCTGTATATGCAGCTTCGGACGAGGATAAGCTCTTTGAGCTATCACGGGAATGACGCGACTTTGATGTTTCATTGTTCCTGCTGCTCGTGCACGTTTTTGCCCTCCACTCTGGAGTATCGAAAAGAGGAGCAATATAGTATCTGGTGATCTTGTGCACAGTGTATAGACAATGGTAAAAGAATGGGGATCTTTGTTTGGGAAAATCATGCCTTGGTGCGTACAAAGTCAAGGGTTTGAGGCATTCCCAACCCAAATTGGCAAATACGCCCATTGTTGTCCACATTATGACTGTACTGCAATCATATTATCGGCATGTAGGAATGAGTATCGCTTTTCTCCAGTAAATATATGCTCGGATTTGCGTCACTGAAGAGACAGCATCCGAGGAACGAAGATTATAAAGAAAAAAACGAAAGAGCTACGCGTACATCCGTTTAGAAATTCGAAAGTCCAAATATTTTCCGATTTCCATGCGGTACAATGACCATAGGCGCTGCAGAGGCGTGTTCTCTCTCGCGTCCATTAAGAGAAACACGCACGCATCCATACCGATGGAACTTCCCTCGAGCCACTGACAGTTTCACCGTTTAAGTATGCACGCGAGCGTGTACCCAAACAACGTATTCCTGCGATTCTCTCGATGCAAAGTTTGTTTGCGTCATTCGTAGATGATACAGGTACAAAGGGACCCGACCGCGTTGCCGTACATTACATGTGCGTACGAACGAAAGAGAAAGCTCTTTTATTGGATGGTTAGCACACAAATCGACTCTGATATTTGGTTTCCTTTTTTTTTGGGTTGACTTCTTTCACGATTGGAGATTTTTTTGGTGTCTTTTGATCTTCTCGCGCATATAGAGGTTTATTAATCGAAAAATATGTCCCTGCCCACCTTGGAAGTACAGTTATATTTTCGGATCGTGGAAGTAACTGTTATTTAGGGGAAATCGAAATAGACGCTCGTTCTCAATCTTGCGTCGTTGTCACGCGTTACTTCGTATTTATAATCCATATTAAATTTCAATAAAGTTGCTTATCTGCTTCAAAAATGTCATGACCTGGACAACGTGAGCTCGATTATTACAAATTGAATATCAATAATTAAATTTAAAAAAAGGTTTTTTTCCAATACTAGCTGAAAGTTTAATAAATTTAACTATCTGCTATGATACTAAAAATGAACATTTTTATTTTCTTTACAAAGTAACAAAATGAAAATGTAAAATTCGATTTTTTTTAGTAACTACATTTTCATTGGCATTTAATGACTTAGCCTATTGCATAAATCGAGCAACAACTTTTATTAAGAGCCTCAAGAGTTGATCATCTCCTCAGAGCTCAAACCATTCATTAATTTTCTCCAAACTGTATTACACACATGGAGGGGGGGAAAAGAAACTCAATCCTTCATAGACGATAAAAAGTAAAAGTCGTAATTGGCCGTGGACAAAAAATAAAACCTACCTCGTGATTCACGAGAGAAAAAAAAAGCGAGGATTGCACAAGCAAAAGTGAAAAAAAACGCGCTCGCGGCATGAATGAAAAGTCCCAGACCGCGAGTAGAGTGCGCGACTCGGAGGCTATAATAAAACGCGGCGTATGTACTCTCCCGCCCGTGGCGTCCGGGATGCGATGAGAGTGTAAGGAGTCCCGGATCCGACCTTCGCGTCAAGAGCACTGGCTGTATTGTATGTACGTACACCACACAAACTCGGTACACTCGTGCCGAGTCCACTTTCTACTCTGAC